CTGCTCCGCCATGGCCCCCAGCTCTGACTGCTCCGCCATGGCCCCCCGCTCTGCCTGCACCGCCATGGCCCCCCACTCTGCCTGTTCCGCTTCATGGGCCTGGCCCTACGTCCCTCCCCCAGTTCCGCCTCCACTCCACCACCCTCCTGGACTTTTTGGGATTTGTTTGGGCGTCTGGAGCCGCCCTTAGAGGGGGGGATATGTAATGTGGTGTTTTGGGGGTTGTTTCATGTTCATGTTTTCCATGTCTTTTATTTTGTAATTGTTTCATGGTCCCTGTTTGTGTCATGCTTCCCTTGCCCTCATGTATTCATGCCATTGGTTCCTCTGTTCATTGTGTCATGTTCTGATTGGTTGTCTAGGTCATGTGTCTTGTTTCCCATTGGTTTGTTCTTGTCATGTGACCCTCATTGTCTGCTATAAGTAGCCCTCATGTTGCCATTGTCTTTTGTCGTGTATTAATGTTGTAACCTGCTGTCGGTGAGTCTAGTCTGTTCATGCTACGTCGAGTCTGTTCATGTCAAGTCTGTTCATGCTAAGTCATGTCAAGTCTGTGTTTCTTGTTTGGATTATTGTTTGGATGTTTGGATATCACCTGTAAATAAAACTGCACTTGGGTTCTCACTACGCTCGCCTTCAGTGGATGATTCATTACAATACCACTCTATATGAGGTGTAATGGCAGTCATTTCCATCTTCAGGGGTTAAATGGACCGTAGGGATGTTGAAAAGTCAGTGGTGCTCTCTGAATTGGTCTGCTGGTGCAGTACAGGACCCCTCACACTTAACCTCAGTCCTGATCTCATTAATATATCCCAAACCCTGACCTGTCCAACATTATTACCAAACCTCAGCAGTATATAGACTTAAAAAAAACTTTATGAATCTAATGCTAATGTGATTTATAAAGTAAACTTTGTGCATGATCTAGAATGAAACCAACATATGATTTTACTGTTGCAGCATTAACTTTTGCACCTGTTTCAGTATTCAGATCAGATCCAGTCTGAGCACAGCTGATGATCTTGACTGGAAAAGAGAAAAATAGATTTATCACATTTTTTTATTTTACATTACAGGTTTGACATTACAATATTTTCTTTATTACCTTCCTTGTGTTTGTTCTCTAACTGTTCAGCAAGATTGTTCTGGTTAATCTTTTTCAGGATATCCAGTGTGATCTTCACAGCTCCTTCTGGTCCAAAACGATCAAGCATCTGATCCAATGTGTCTGTTGCATTAGCCTTCTCCAATACAGAAGCAGGAATAGGTCCATCTTCTCTTAAGAAGCTCTTAAATCTCTTCAAATGTTCTTCTTCCAGGTCATCCAGTGTGTCATAAAGCAGTTGTTTAACAGATGCCATCGTCCTTCACTGACTGCTGTTAGACATGTAGAAAATGCTTTACAATACAGTAGGTCCACTCTTACTGGGCACTTACAAAATAGGGCCTGAAACCTAAACTTTTTTTTTTCTCTCATGCTGAAGTTTCATAAAATGATAACCACCAACCTCAGGAGATAATTATTAGTTTGAGTATTATTTCCTCCAGACCATATGAAATTTCACAATTTGAATGACTATTAATTTCTTTCTGTTAAATCCATAAACCAGAGATATTATTACTTTGACCAAAAACCTCTAAGCATAAGAAGTAGTAGTTTTATAAAAAAAGATTATTTACAGCACCTTTCCATAGCTCAAGGTCGCTTTACATTTCAGCTTATGGGGAAAAACATGAAAGACATTAGAATAAAATATGCATCTAGAAGGCTGTATTTTTATTTCTACAAGGATGTCCTGCATAAAAAGACAGAAATAATGTGGCTCACTGGATTATTGATGATACCTAGAATGTCAAAGTCCACATACTATTTGTTTATTTAGCAGATGCTTTTATCCAAAAAGGATCAACACAAGCTTTTGACACTGTTGACTCTGCTTCCTGCTGCATTTTAATCTTGATTGATTTAAGTGCAGCCTTTGATACAGGAGATTGTGATTATGTTATCATTTTTAAAAAGACATGTAGTTGGGTTTTAGGGACCTGTGGTGAAGCGGTTTTACTATTAGCTTAAAGAAAATAAAATTTTCTGTTAATGTAGTAAATTGTTTCCCTTTCATGGGAACTTCAAACTGCGTCCTCTAGGGGTCGCTATGGGGAACGCCTCGTCGTGACCCGTGTCTGAAGCATACATTGAAAAAACACCAACAACATGTTGGCCGGCGACAGCCATGACATCACTACCGGTGCGACTATAGTATAAATAGGCACCGGGAGCACACATCATCCTCTTCTTCATCTTCATTGACTGTTTTGTTTGAAGCGTGCATTTCTGTGGTAAGAGCGATCTCTTTTCATATCATTATGGCGAGCACTAGCAAAGTGTTTAGAGGATATGTGCATCCGTGTTGTTGTTGTTTAACATCTAATGACACACACGATCTATGCGTTATTTGTTTGGGCGAAGAGCACGCACGCGATG